GTGCTGTGGTGACAGCAGAATCGGAAGTGGCAGCAGAATGGGGAATCCCGGCACGGAGGTGCCTCAAGACCCCACTCCAAAGTAGGACAAACTCAGTTTTGACATGTTAACCTCTGGACATGCTTGAGGATCTAGGATTCATTTGTTTGTCTTTCTGGCAGTCCAAGGTATCCACAAAGTTCTCCCCCAGCACCATGTTTAAACAAACTTTTTCCCCCTGTCAACCTTCTTCCCTTTATATCTTTCACATCCATACGCAGCGATCAGAAATACAGGAGTGTGGATGACCATGGTCTCCAGTGACACACCCTTACACTTGATCATCTTTGCTGCCCTTCTGAGTCTCAGTCTTCTTCTAATTTCTTGGCTGCAGTCTCCATTTGAATTGATGATTGAGCCAAAGAATACAAAATCTTTAACTGTTTCAGTTATATGTATACAGTCCTCTGAATTGTGTGTGTGTGGGGGTTAACATAATCATGCTGGTATGGAGCTGGAAATCACTATAGTGATATATGTTGTTATGTGCCATCAAGTCATCTCCAATGTATGACAACCCCATGAATGAGTGATCTCCAAAATGTCCTGTCCTCAACAGCCCTGCTCAGCTGTCGCAGGTTCAAGCCTGTGGTTCTTTTAGGGCAGTGGTGGTGAACCTTTTTGGGCTCGTCTGCCCAAACTGGGGGGAAAAAAACAGACAGCCGGCAGCGTGCTGTGGTGACAGCAGAATCGGAAGTGGCAGCAGAATGGGGAATCCCGGCACGGAGGTGCCTCAAGACCCCACTCCAAAGTAGGACAAACTCAGTTTTGACATGTTAACCTCTGGACATGCTTGAGGATCTAGGATTCATTTGTTTGTCTTTCTGGCAGTCCAAGGTATCCACAAAGTTCTCCCCCAGCACCATGTTTAAACAAACTTTTTCCCCCTGTCAACCTTCTTCCCTTTATATCTTTCACATCCATACGCAGCGATCAGAAATACAGGAGTGTGGATGACCATGGTCTCCAGTGACACACCCTTACACTTGATCATCTTTGCTGCCCTTCTGAGTCTCAGTCTTCTTCTAATTTCTTGGCTGCAGTCTCCATTTGAATTGATGATTGAGCCAAAGAATACAAAATCTTTAACTGTTTCAGTTATATGTATACATTCTAGTAATTTATCAACTCCATAATAGCAATATCATTTGGTAACCCCCTCCCCACTAAATTCTTGTGGTTGGAGAGTATGCCAATAACAGAATACAATTTGTTTTCTGATTTGTAGACTGTTGCTGATGGGAGGGGGCTTAACTGGCAATCCTCCCTTTCCCTTTCACATGCTCTTCTGACACATGACAAGAAACTTCCAAACAGTGCCACTCTTAAGAAGAGATTCCTGGAGACACTACAGAGGTTCAGTGCAGATACTTTTCGTCTTCTAGGTAATGCAGGATATGTCCCTCCAATATTTAAAGGAACAGTGATTACTGCTGTGGTTTCCCTGATGGAATGTCTAGTCTACCCTTCCCAGGAATCAGTAATCTTGAAATAAGTGCAATTAAGGAAGTATTAAGGGGAGGGGGAGGAAGGAAGGGTGATGGTGAAGAGATATGGTGGCCTTCATTCTTCTGCATATTAACTCAAAATAGAAGATCTAAAGCAGGGGTGGGTGACACACTGGTGGCATGAATCCCACTGAATTTTGCAGCTCCTGATGCCATCTTGCTGTTGTCAGAGTCCTTCTCTGCTGCTGAAATTTGGTGGCAAACAAGCAAAAAACAACACATTTTCCTTTCAGAATGAGGTGCTTATGGAAATGCATGCTGTCTTTTAATGTACATGTGTGCTACCAGAAAGCCAGATTATGCTTTAGAACAAGGCACCTGTTCCTTGTATGCCTAGGTCTGAAATAGAAACACCTCTCCAACTCAGTGCTGACAACACTTGGCAGAAAATTCACTGGTACAGAAGCCATAAGGCTATGTGGGTTCCCCAGTGGTTCAAAGGGGACAAGAGATTTGGCCCACTGCTCATCTCCTGGCTGATTAGCCCAGCTCAAGTTCTGCACACTGACTAAACAGATGAATTAAGTCCCAAAATCAGTGTGGAGGTACAACAGCACTGGTAGTTTGGTTACTTTTTTTTTCTTCCCCAGTCTGATTTCCCCACCCCCAGATGCAGTAATTGGAGATGACTACAGTATTCCAAGCATGATTGCATCATGACTCTCTATTAACACAAAGAATCCAAGTTCAGGTACATGTATCCCTGGCTATTCCTTACAGGGGCATTTATAGCTGTAGTTTTAAACGATCTCTAAGCCTGCCAGGGTCATCATGTGGATTATGGTGCAGTTGTATAGGAATCCAGCTCCTTAGTCTAACACCATCTGGGTCCATCACTCATATCGGTGTGGACATCAGCTTTTGGCATAGAATTTGTTGATCATCTCCACACTGTGGAGGAGAGAGGCAGGCCTTCCTCCAGCCTTCACCCTCTTGCTCATCAGTTCTATTTTTATAAGGGTGATGTGTGTTGGTTTCCTTCTGTGGTATGAAACAAAAGGGGGTGGGGTAGGGACATACAGAGGGATGTATCAGCTTGTGATTATAACCTTCTCCACCCATCACTGGCATGCTATTCTAAGCTGCCTGAAAGCTGGAGGTGGGTTTCTTGTCCACAATGATATCAGAATAAAAGCATATTTGTACTTTTGGCTTCCTCTTCCATACTTTATCTCTCATCAGGAGGGGTTTCCCCCACAGGGCATGCATTACAAACAAAAAGGAAAAAAAGTGTTCTGCAACCCATTATGATTTAATGCTTAGACATACTATTCTGTTTTGCCAGGCAAAAAGCTAAGCCTACAACAATGGGTACTCAACAGTGAACATTCTGCTGTTTAATACACACAAATCAGAATGAGCCAGCTGAAGGTAAGTCCCACTTATGTCAATGGGAGAATACTTTAATTCTAGCTGGAACACGTCCCTTGTCCTGGTGTGAATCACAGTGTGCTTATTTTTAAAAACACACAATCAAACTTGAAAACACATGAACCTCCAAATGCCCATGTTATCTTTGATATTTGGGATCTAGTTAGCCGGTGATTTCAGCTGGTAGTAGAGTTCAATTTTACACCATGGTTTCCCTTCCTTGAGGTCTGTAGGAAAGGGGATCACCTTTGTTTTGTGTTATTTTGTGTCAAGGAAAACTGAACCAGAAAGGGTGTGCCCGGAGGAATGTTTTGCTGCTTTGGAGGTCTCAGCACTGCCTCCCTCCATAATGCTGGCTGCTCTGTCATGAATGCTTTCATTCTTCTGTGATTGGAGACTTTCAGTATGAAATAAGAGCTCTGTTTGCAGCAAGAATGCTACAGTGTGCTAGGTTTATATAAAAAAACAATGACAACAACAGCAGTAACAGTAACAGGTTGGATTCAGACTTGAGCATGGAAAAGAGGATTGGTTGAAGAAGACTTTTTATTCCCCTCTTCCCACAAGGAAGACCCCCTAAAAGTGCTATATAGAGAAGGCTAGGGGGACCTGCAGAGACAGGTAAACTATAGTGCAAGGAGATAGTGTATTCCAGAAAATTGAGTAGAGGTAGAGTATCTGGAGCTCTTCCAGCAGCAAAAAGAAAAAGAAAAATCCTAGATCCATCTATCACTACACACCCTAACTATCCCCACCACCACTGTATCAGAGGCAGGGACCAAAAGCTTGCTGGACAACTGGATATCACATCTGGAGCTAAGTCAGAGATGGCATCCCATGGCAAGTGAAGTACAGATGGAGTGGTGGGATGGGAGAAGAAAATGGAAGATGAAACAGAGCCATTCCTCTGAATACTAGACAAGGATTAGTGGCAGTAGTGACTGTTGTTATTTTAACTGTATGAGATGAACAGATTTTATAGACAGGATCACCATCTACTATGGTTAAAAACTTATACATTCCAAGGTCAGCATTCCTTGGAAGGAAGGATAGCAGGGTAGGACCTAGCCTTGTATTATTTTTATGAATTCTTATAGCAGGAGAAGAGCTAAGCAGTGCACGTGAAGTGTATTATGAAAAGGAGTTTAAGTGGCATGACCCTTCCCCTTTGTAAAGGGTTTTACTAAATTCTGAAATAATTGCTTAAAGGGACAGCCTGCTTGCCATCTTTACATTGCTCGGTCTGACAGAACTGCAACCAGTCCCCTTTCATCCTACTTGTCTAGCCTTCAATCCTTTGAGAGATGATGTGGAGTTTGGGAGAATCTATGCAGTTTCACAAAGGCCTGATTCTGCATGTGTGTATTATTCAGTGACCACAGAACAAAGACAGTGCAGGCTTAGCCATGACTACCTACCTACTTACCTGCCTGCCTGCCCACCATCTATCTATCTATCTATCTATCTATCTATCTATCTATCTATCTATCTATCTATCTATCTATCTATCTATCTATCTATCTATCTATCTATCTATCTATCTATCTATCTATCTATCTATCTATCTATCTGTCTATCTGTCTGTCTGTCTGTCTGTCTGTCTGTCTGTCTGTCAACAAAATAACCTAAACAATGGCAGGAGGAGCCCCTAGGAAGTATTTCAAAGAGCTCATCAAAGAGATTTAAAACTCCCGAGAGCACCTAATGCCCCTTTAGACCAACAATTGTGCAACAGTTTGTTACTTTGAAGCTGATATATTTACTTTCCAGGTCTACCTTGTCATGCTATTTAAAAGAAATAGGAGCTGGTTTTGAAAAAAGGCAAACACCTGGAAGCTGAGATGATACGTGTACATGAATCATTAATTAAGTTCATGAAGGAGCTTTCTAATGGGCTGCACAACATTCCCTTCCTGTAATTGGTATATATGCTCAACAGTTTTAGTGGGAGACAGGGCCCATTATTCTGCCCAGCTGCTAGAGAGCCACTGCTGAACTGTTGTTTCTCCTATTAAGCAGTCAGCATAAACTCTTCTCGTTACAGCCTCTGACATCGCCCCCAGGGCAAGCAGACACAGAAGAGCAATTGCCGAATTGTGTATGAAAATTATAGTTTTATTGTCCGTACAAGTGAAGGTTCGACTCTGTCGCCTGCCCTGCTCTGCGTTTGTGATAAAGAAGCAATTCTTCTGCAGAACAAATAAACACAGTGCACCATTGTAATCAAAGAAACAGGCACTATTTATGAATTGGAAAGACTGGTTAACAATAGTACCAAACAGTCCAAAGGCCCAGAAGCAGTTGTTTGAGTAGATGTAGAGAAAGCAAGAGTTACGAAATGTTGAAGCAGAGCTTGGGAATGCAAATGACATCACTCCCCCTTGGTTAGTTTAACAAGCACGACTGATAGGTTGGGACCATGTACTTAATGTTTATATAAGCATCTTCACCGCCGTAGCGCTCAAAGGCTTCCAGGGTCTCTTGAATCAAGTCTCCAATATTTTCACGCTTCTGTTGGCTGTAGTCAATGCCATCTCCTGAATTCACTAATTGATTGATCAAATCAAAGCAAAAACAAAATAAAACAAAACAACAAAACAAAATGAGGACAAAAACAGAAAACATCAGGTTAGAATCTTCTGTGGAGAAAATTATTTTTTTCCTTAATAGACTCTTGCAAGTAAGTACACTAAAGGCAAGTTAATATGGCAGCACCTCATACTTCTGGTACCATGCTCTTATGTTCCATGATAAATTCAAAAAGTGCCTAGTAAAGGTGAAGGAAAGAAAGGGGGGGAATCTCTTTCCCATAAACATCTAACAGGAAGTGTCCCATGCAGATCACATCACTTTCAGTATTCCCTATCATCCAAAGGCACCAAAAGGATGACTTGTTCTGCCAAAGTGTTGTGTTAGTGTGGATATATTAAAGTTGCACATACACCACTGGAAACTAGAGCCATCTTAAATATGCCAAAAAGCTGCAGACTTTTGCTATAGTCTGAACAGAGAGAGACTCATGAGTTATCTTTTATGGAAACAGTCTTTGTTTACTCTCCTATATATGCTCAGGCTCAGTTCTTCAGAGTCTGCTCATTGTCCAGGCATCTATTCTTTTGAAGGACACAATTACCAGCGTGACTCTTGAGCGTCAGTGTCAAGGCTTTGCCCTACAGCATCCCCGCTAGAACAATGGCCTGATACTGAAGCAAGCCAGTTGTACTAGCAGCTAGTTCTGCGATTAGGCCATGCTTGGGAGTCAAGAGTGAGAACATACAGGACACTATATTTTATTATTCAGATAAATGCAAAAGGCAAGATGTCTAATATTTTAAGGAGGTTGCTTACACGTACCCAAAAAAAACCACCTCACTGAGTTACACAGCAGCATAAAACAACTATGGGCTAGTTACCAGCATAGATACAAATTTAAAAATAATTATTATAACAATAAAATTTTAGCACATTTTGTCAGAGGGGGGGAAGACTGTGACTAAAGAACCTGTGTGTCTCCTCAGTCAACTGTCCAGGTACTAACTAACTGGTGAGGAGCAATGTCATGGTCTCTGCTCTTCCATATTCTGGCTTCTTTATCTTTAATCTGGACCTGGACTATACAGCCATTCAAAGAGAGGTCTTCAGACGAAGGACTGCCCCTGTAACCTAGGCATCCTCAAAACATAACCAGGCCTATCGGGTAGTTGCCTACTCACTATTAACAAGGTGACTTAAATGCACTACTTCTTCCCAAACAGCTGGAAGAGGGCTTTAAGCCAATGTAATTCCAGATGGCTCACCAGACAGGTTTCTGCCTCATTTCTTGAAGCTGGCATCCACCTAGCTTCTTCTAAGGGGAGGACAGAAGGTTGACATAGACTTAACACATTATGAGAAGGGAATGGTCCCTGGCATGATCTGTTTGCTTTAGAGAGACTTAAATCAAGATGATAGAGCTGAAGAAGCAGGAGATGTGCTTTACTTCAGAACAGTCATGGGGGGGGGGAGACAATAAACGCATCAACATAATTATTTTTTGTTTCCCAAGAAACAGTGTTAAGTCAACTCAGTGTCAATAAGGGAAGCTATCTAAGCCCTTATATGAAGTAACAATTCTTTCCAGCTTCTCTGCTGTGAGGCAGCTGAGGAAGTGACTGGTAAAATATCTTCATAATGAGATAGTATATCTGGTCATGTAAAAAACCCAGTTTAGAAGCTTCTGCAAATATGAAACAGATGTAAAACTTGGACACACAATCCTTCTTCCAGGACACGGATACGATTCACAGTCTGGTCTTGAGCATATTTATTTAGAAACGGGTCTTACCCACTTTCCCCTGGAATTACTTCCAAATTAATTTCCACATTTTTACTCCAGAGTAATCTTAAGGGAGGGGGAAATGGGAGTACTCTAAAGTAAATGGCTCACAGATCACAGCCATATAAAGGATCATCCTACAATGCCCTCAGCATGAATACTTTTGGATTCACATCACAAATAATTTGGCAATACCCACTAGATGATTTAGAAGTTTGGCACTGAAATGCAGAGCTTTTCATTCCCCTATATCTTTGGCATTAACCCAACTTGCATACATAGTAACTTGAAGTAGGGATTGCCTGAAGGTTATTCTGTGGCTCAGGTGACATTATTTTGGCTCACTATTTTTTTATAGCAGACAGGTGCCCACAGCATAAAATGCAACAGTTCTCTTAGCACTATTTGTCCATTCAACAGACAGTTCTGGAGGAGCCAAGAGAATTATAAAGGAAGCCAAGCCATCTTCTCCTGTGCTTGACATTTTCCTCAGAGCCAAGGAACAAGCGCACAAGGTTAATTTTCTTTCAGTCATATATCTTGAAACTCTAGTGCAGTAGAACTGATCTATGAGGCCTTAAGTCTTGCTCAGGTCACATTGCTAGAGGCGGGCACTTAACACGGTTTGGCACCCTCAGGTGGGTGTCCATTCAGAGGACGCAGGGCAAAAAAGCCTGCAGTGCTGCTTTTGACAGGCGCCTGCAGGAGGAGGTGGGACGTGGAACTCAGATTGTCCATGCATCCCCTATGGGCCTGATCTGTTGAAGCATGCCAAACCGTTGAACCTCAATAAGTATCCAACTCTACACACTACCCATATTCAGTCATTATAGCCTGAAAGCTTGGGGGACTCTCATCATGGTGGAGATATGAAGATACATTCAGTTCCTGCCCCCTGGGGCTCTCTCACCCAGAGATCATCCAGAACTTCACAGTTAGCACAAAGTTCTAGAGATGAAGTTGTAAGCACATTTGGAGTTTAGGCAAGCCCTGTAGGCATGTTCAGATAAACACACTTATGAACTCTCCTTCAGACCTTTGTACTCATCCACACTTCCAAGCTGTAGTGCCTGAACATGGCAACTGTCCTCAGGAATTTTATTCAGGTTGGGGAGTATACTTAGTCTGATGTACTCTCTTACATCAGGCGAAGTGCACTCCCAATCTGAATAGAATTGAATTGGAAGATCTCACATTTCTCTGATTCCAGTTTGCTTACCCTTGTTCAACTCTGATGAAGGGAGTGGGACAGAGAGTACAGAAGCTCAAAGTCAACACTCTGTCTTATCCAAACTAGGATTCCAGGACAAAGCAGTATTTGAAAAGATATTTAAGTCCAGCAATAAACTTATGAGGGCGATCATTTTGAAGTGAGCCTTCTCAGTGATATATTCATAGCACTTGCTCCTTTGCATTATGTCAACTTAGTAACTTTCCCTCCAAACCCATGACAGACAGGTAACATCACAATAAACTGTAACAGGCGATCATTTTGAAGTGAGCCTTCTCAGTGATATACTCATAGCACTTGCTCCTTTGCATTATGTCAACTTAGTTCTTTCTGGGCCTGCACATAGTACATGATGTCACAATATAGCATGAGAAAGTTTACTGCAATGAACTTTACTGAATACTGTAAATCAAGTGTTTGCTTTATTTTTTCCAGACATTTACTCATGTCCCAAATACGATGGTGGTATACATACATATCCCATTTCCCTGGCCCTCTTTGCACTGCAACACTCCAATGACATGGAAAACATTTTAAACATCACAATTGTCATATGAAAGGCAGATCTCATGGATTTATCTATTCTGGCATCGATGAAATATGCTCTTGTAATATCCATGAGTGAGCATAAGAACTCTAGTGTTTTTACATTTGAAAACAACAGGCAATGTTGTATCAAAACTGGGTCAGTGAGCATAGGAAAGGGGATTGAGTTACAGCAACACTCAAGAAAAAAGCTTGAAGTAAAAGGTACACAGAGACGGTACACCATTCCAAATAACTGGTCTAAAGTAATCAGTTTATGACAGTGATGGCATGTCTGAAAGTCCATTAGCATTGTTATGGATTTCCTTTCAAAAACAATTGATGTTGACGCCTTCTTATTAGTGATTGTTCACCAACTCATTTTATCTATGCAATGCAAATCTCAAATTGTCTTTTCATATCTAAGTGGGATCCTGACACTCTGTACTACCAGCTGTAAAAACCATTGTTAATAGAAAAACAAGTGCAAAGTGATCCTGATATTCATTGCTCTCTGTTGTCTAATGTTCCTATCTCTAACTGAACCATTTGAGGGCTCTTTCAGATGGTCCATTGGTTCTTAATCTACCAGACTTTGTGTTCATGTCATCTGTGTTTTCCTCTCCACTCATACAATGTTCCTCTTGTCTTAACTGGTAATGTGACTTCTTCTTTAACTTTCTGCTCCTTTTTGTCTCTGAAAACATGGTTTGTCTTTAGTATGACTATGTAGAGCAGAGCAAAAAGTGTAGTCTTATGACACTTCCCATTTGAAGCTGATGAACAGAGAGGTCCTCCCAGTAAGAAGCTTTCAATTAGCATTCAAACAATCAAGCAAGTGAACAAGAAAAGCTCTAGAAGAGAAGTGGATTTCCTTCTTTCTTTTTAAAAGGATTCCTTAAAGAGCAAAGAAATGGACTTTGAAAGGAAAGTTTGCATACAAATATTGATAAAACCTATGCTACTTTGCAACTAGGCAAGAAAGGGGCTGGAAACTTTTTTCCATCTATAAAAGCCATAACTTTCGTATTAGTAAGTGCCACATAAGCAGAACTAGAGGCTAGTCACTTCTCCCTTCCAGTGCTTTAATCAAACCCCAGACTCAGCCCATACACACCAACCAAACCTGCATGCTGGCAAAGGGAGTACTCAGTTCTATAAAACTGCCGTGCGCACTGCATGTGTCATAATATGGGTGAGAAACACAAAATAACACTTGAAATTCTGAAGACAGAGGTAGGAATTATGAAGGTGTATATCCTAATAACAGGATAAGGCCAAACATGAGTTTCTCTGTTCCCACATGTTGCATGACCAATCACACAATCAGCTGCAGAACCAATCCTGAAATGAGTACAAGCCCCAGCATGCAAAAAGAAGCCTGTTGTGGTGTAGGAACCACTTACACGATCACCTTTGCATATAATGAAATGCAACAAGGCATGACAAAAATGGTTGCATTCAAAGGTTTTTTT